GGTTTTTAAAAAAATATTTATGGTAATATATCATATAATTAGTATTCTAAAAAATTGTTCTAGACATCCGCTTAGGCGGTGCTAGGTCCCAATAAACCGTGGAAGTTACCGTTCATACCGTCTAATATATTATGGTATTATAACAATAAAATAATATAAATTCATTATTTGTAAATCATGATATTTTATATATTTGATATAAAATTGATGATATTAAATATAAAATGAATTTTTATAATTTGTAAATCATGAATTTTTTATATATTTTTCTATATATATCAAATATATTATGTTTTTTTTGTAAAATGATTACATCGTCTAAAAAATTGCCAAGAATCCGATTAGGAAAATTCATTGTAAAATGATAATTGAGTTGAAGAACAATTTATTTTTGTGATGAAGAAGTAAAAGCTTTTTTTTGTCATCCAATAACTTTATTTCAACTGTAAATGTTTACATCGACCATTTTACAATAGAACTTTGAGAATGTATTCTAGCCTGCTTAGCTAGTTGATCAGCTTGACAATTAGCCTCTCGGGAAATATGAAGAAAAGTGAAATTACAAAGCTAAGCTATCTTAATAATATCCTGTAATTGCACTATATATTAGAGATTTGCTATCTGAGGATGTGACATACTCACACTAGATTCTTGCAATAAACCATAGAGCTTTTGCAAATCTCCGCAAAAAGTTATATTTCGATAGCCATCCTCAAAGCTTCAACTTCACCATGAGCCGATGATTGTGTAGGCTGGAAAGATCCTGAACCAAAAAGTATTGGTTGTGAACTACAATTATAAAGAATCCATCCAATTCCCAGATTATGATAGTGAGAGAGCCAGGATGCATCAACTAAGCAACAATGTTGTCGGACTTGCTCCAAAACTTGAGATAAACTTCTAAGAATAACTATAGGAGGTGACCGGTTTGAACCTGTTATATTTGCTTGTGGCTGTTCATGTTGATTCATTTCCAGTGCTTCTAGCCACAAATTGTACTCTTGCAAAGCTTTATTAATCACTGATGGAATAGGCCACCTCTTACTGTTGAAGATTATCTCATTTCTTTGTTTCCATATTCTCCAACATAAAAAAATAAAATAATAACTTTCGTTCATTGGAGTCATGGTTTGCAAATAAAAAACCAGCATAATTCTCTGTTAATAAGTTAGAAAACAAAGAATCTTGATCAAGTCCATTCACCGGAGCAAGTTCCCAAATCTCCTTAGCGACCC